GTTCCTTATTTTCGGGGTGGTCAAGCTGTTTAACGTTTAGACAAGCATTTTTTATCTGGGGATTACCTATGGCATTCTTTGTTAACGGCGACTTACTGTGCGGATCTCAATCTTCTCTAAATTAGCTCCGCTACTTTCACACGTTGTATTTTACTGTCATGCATGCAGATACAATTAGGTAGCAGCGTTTTTCAACACTTAACACGTTGACGCTGGGACAGTAAACCGTTAGTTATAGATGAAGAAGCCAGAGGAACCGTAGATCAGGCGTAGATCCGCCCTCTAAAACTCCATATCCTCTCCCGAGTCTCCTCATATCCCTTCCCCCCCCCGTCCCCCACCTGTTCCAGCCCATGAGCTGCTTATCTACAATCGACGCCGTTCGAACATGGGGTGGATATTCGCCCTTAAGGCAGCACCAACCTTCCGCCGAATGGGGAAAGGCGCCATCGCCCCATCCATCTTGTCCGCTCCAACCACAACTTAATTAGGGCTCCATAGTCCTGTTCACTTCATCATCGCAACCATCCACAGCCCCCAGCAGTTCGTTTGTTTACTTCCGCGCTTCTTTTCTCCCTCCAGAGATAGGGATGCGCATACCGCCATAGGACAAAGGCGAACCTCTTTCCAACCACCCCCCCCCCCCCCCCCCTCTGGTTAGCCGACAAGGGGCAGACTGTAAGACGAGCCACTCAACCAACCAACCACCACCAGCGTCATTGTCGTCATCGCTGTCACGAGGTTGAATGCCTCTCTCCTTCTTTTAACTCTACCCGGCCAACTAACTACTTTTGTTACTGTTACCGTTACCGCTACCGCTTCCTCTCCCGCTGCGCATTGTCACCGTCGCAGTTGACCGTTCCTATCAATTTATTATGAATGCTGTCCGCTACACCCCAGTACCGACTTGCCTCCAGAGCTCGTCTTCATCACCATTACGTCCTACCCGAGTCGACTGCTAGCCGGAGAAGCGGAAGCTGAGAGGGTATAAGGGTATAGGTGGAGGAAGAAGGAAGTGCGGAACGGGATTCGCATAGGATAGGATACGATTGGGCTGCTGTTGAGATCGTCGTCACCTGTCACCGTGATGGCGGGGTTTGTAGAAGAGGTTTTGGGTGCCGTTTTACGTGTGTTTCTCTCTCTCCTTTTTTGTTGGGGGGGGGGGGGGGAGGGTTGGGGGAAGCTGGTTAGCTCGCTACTTAGATTTGTTCTCTCTAACTCGTGTGTGTTTTACAGGCAAGAGGGTCGAGGATGATGTTGATCCCGATGGTTCGTCATATCTGTTTCTATATCCTTTTCTCCCAGTGGACCCCACTGCCCCTCTTCCTTGATGTTGCCGTTGTCTATTGCTGTCCACCTTTCCGCCAGTTTCATGTGCACTCGTGCAGAGCGGTCGGGGGGATGGAGCAAGTTGGCTTTGGAAAGGGTTGACTGGCAGGTTTTCTAACCGGGTTGTCTCTTCGATGATACAGAAAGCCCAGAAGCGGGCGAGAAAGAGCTGTTTGCATCATGGGCCCTTTTCATCTTGATTATGCTCTTGATCACGGCGCTCTTTACGAGTTACACCTTGAAGCAGAAAAAAGTTCAAGCGGTGCATGAGACCGTTATATCGATTTTCGCTGGTGAGTTCGGATCTCTGCCTTTCTGTCCGATGACAGTGGTCTTGTTCTTGAAATCGCTAGTAAGCTGACTGACTGTTGCTTCTGCAATGGAGGAATGACCGTTGGTTTGATTATTCGATTAACTCCGGGGAGTCTAATACAATCTTCTGTGACTTTCAATTATCAGTTTTTCTTCAACCTACTTCTTCCGCCCATTATTTTGGCTTCGGGGTATGAATTACACCAGGTATGGTTGGCAGGCAGGTGTATATGAAATGGAGCTTTGGGACCATCTGTTAATTATAGAGAACAGGCCAATTTCTTCAGAAATATAGGAACGATTCTCACCTTCGCTTTTGTGGGTACTTTTATTTCAGCACTGGTTCTGGGCCTTATTTTATACCTGTGGTGTTTGATTCCCCTAGAAGGCTTATCGATATCGTTTGTCGAGGCGTTTGCGGTCGGAGCTACCCTTTCTGCAACAGACCCCGTCACCATCCTTGCCATCTTCAACGTGTACAAGGTCGAACCGAAGCTCTACACAGTGATCTTTGGGGAGTCGATCTTAAACGATGCTATCGCTATTGTCCTTTTCGAAACGGCCCAGAGATATAAGCCAGGGAGCGCAGCTGGATCGCTAACGCTGCTAAGCTTGTTCGAGGCTGTTGGTGTATTCTTGCTTGTGTTTTTCGGAAGCCTGGTGATTGGGGTAGCTGTGGGCATATTTACTGCGCTGGGCTTGAAGTACACCCATGTGCGGCGGGAACCAAAGATTGAGAGCTGCCTTATCGTCTTGATTGCATATGCTAGTTACTTTTTTTCGAATGGAGTTCATTTGTCGGGTAAGTTTTTTATTTCTCACCCTTAAAAACACAAGCTTTTGCTGACTGCAAACAATGCAACAGGAATTGTGTCGCTGCTGTTCTGCGGTATCACATTGAAACACTATGCATATTACAACATGTCGCGACGGACACAGCTTACGACGAAATATATCTTTCAGGTGCTGGCACAACTTTCAGAGAATTTCATATTTATCTATCTTGGCCTGGACTTGTTCACAGAGCCAAATTTGCAGTTCAAACCGCTATTCATCATGATAGCAGTTGTTGGGATTTGTGTTGCAAGATACATGTCTGTTTTCCCCCTTTCAAAGGCCATCAACTGGTTTATTAGATATAGAGCCAAGCGTCGTGGGAAGGAGGTTGCCGATGAGCTCCCCTTTGCCTATCAGGGTATGCTCTTCTGGGCAGGTCTTCGTGGAGCAGTTGGTGTTGCGCTTGCGGCCGGCCTTGAAGGCACCAACGCACCAGCGCTGCGGGCAACAGTTCTCGTTGTCGTCGTCCTGACAGTCATCATATTCGGCGGGACGACAGCACGCATGCTTGAGATCCTGGAGATCCGCACTGGTGTCGTCGAAGAGATCGATTCTGATGACGAATTTGACATCGAAATTACCAATGGAGGAACATACTATAAACGTGGCGGAACTGGATTGGGACATATACCTCGACGCGCCTACCCCGTACCGCTCGACACCATCAACCTAGATCACGAGAACATGGCAGAGGGCTTCTCGAGTGGAAACAACGGTCGCGGTGCCCCCGGCACCCCGCAGTCGTCCCATACATCTGTTGCCGCTAGGAAAAACTCAGGATATAACCAAGGGCGTAAGGATCGGTCCCGTGACCTTGCATCTGCACGAAACCTGCTTGGAAAACACAACACTAGCAACGGCGGAAGTGTCAGTGGTAGCAGTGCTGACGATGGAGATGCAGGCGGATCCGCATCTTTGAGCAGAATTCCCTCCTCCGCCCAGCGGCCTACAACGCGCACCCGCACCGGCGGCACGCATGATAACGACGCGGATATCGACGACTTCGATCTGGATCTTGATACGTTCTCGGACGATGATCTCCCGCCCGCTGCCCCGTCACATCTCCGGGCACAATCGGCTGGCTTGTATCCAGCAGAAACGCAGGCCCCCACGTCTGCGCAACAGCGTCTTTCCCCTGTAAGTGCTACTCCCGGTACCACTGGAGGGTCTTCTGGAAGAGATGGAATAGCGTCGTCGGGCGTCGTGGCTGAGGCGTCACAGGGTACGGGTTCTTCTTCATCTTCAAGACTGGGCGCAACGGCTGTGATTCGAGATTTGTTGTCCGGTGCTGGAAATGGGGACCATGCGGCATGGTTTAAGCAGCTGGATGAGGATTATATCAAGCCGAAGTTGTTGCTGGATCAGGGGCCGGGGCATCATAATCATCACAAGGGTCCTGGAGCGGTATAGATTTTATTATGTATTTTTTTCCCTTGAGTTAGCTTGCCTTGGTACTAAACACTATCTACGGTACACCGACATATTATGTATATCCCCCACTTTTGAGCCCTCTCTCTGTGGATTTTCTGTTGATTTGTTTGCGCGGTTTGGTGGTGTATGTAACTGTTCTTGTATCAACTTATGTCTCGCCCCTTTCAATGTAATTTTTTTTTTTCTTTTTTCCCTCTTGGTTTGTCCACCAGCTCCGGATTTTCTCCTTCGTCTGGAAGCCTAAGGCGACGCCCTGGTGGATGGATGGATGGAAGCGTGCAGCCATATCGGCCTTTGCACCTCACCTGTATGCCTAAGGCTCCCCTCCCTCTTCTCTTACGTATGAACTCTGCTACACACACCTGTATATTCCTATCTTCTTCTTCTTCTTCTTCTTCTTCTTCTTCTTTTCTTCCCTTTTCTTTGTCCCTATGTGTTTTAGGCTGGTCATATTACTTCCTTTCTACCAGCGCCAGGTAGCTGCTGGCACATGGGTTTGATGGAACACAAAACAAAGTACATGGGCAGCGTGGCAACAAACTGCATATCCCACCCCGTCCTCTGCTTTTCCCGTTATCTGCATATTGTCAGAGAATTTGATTTGGGAAGCAAAGTAATTTCAGCCTCAGTTCTTCAGTGCTATTTCAAAATAACTCTTCTTCATCTGAGACTCATACACTGTAGGAGGAGGAGAATTGGCGCTTCCTTTCTATATTTGATTTGAGTTGAGGATCACAGCTTTGTCAGCCACGAACCCCGAACCCCCCCCCCCCCCAACAACGTTTTCCTGTCATCCTCTGCTCCGTCGACCAATCTCTGTATACAACCCCTATATGACAGGATTTCCTCCATTTTTTTTTTTTTTAAAATCTTTCTTATTTTTCTTATTTCTCCCCCCTCTTCCCCCTTCTTTTAAGAACAAATTATAAATATCTAAATCGTACACTTAACTATCAGAAATTTTGAAAATATCAGAGAGGAAGGAGGCTTTGGTGCCACCAGCCCGCCGGTTTGTATTTCCACAAATCCAAGGTTTCATATATCTCCATACAAGTCATGATTTGTCTCCCGTCGAGGATTGCTCCGTCCATCTACTCTGGCATCTTGAGGACGTAGCGGCCTGCAACCTTCCCCTGATCTGTTATCGAGAAGAGACAGACATGTTAGCAATTATCTTAACGGAGGTTATTTTTTTATTTTTTTATTTTATTTTTTTTTCAATTTTTTTAATTTTTAATAGTTGTCTAGTTTTATGCTGAACATCCGTTCAGGAACGATATAGAAATGAAAAAAACTTACCCATCAGCGAAAAAACATTCCCCAGCTCCTGCAATGGCACTGTCTTATATGGCACCTGGATCAAGCCTCTGCAGAAGAAGTCAACCGCCTCCTTCGCGTCCAGCCGGTTACCCACGTAACTGCCCTTGATAGTGATCATCCGCACCACCGTGTCGAATACGGGTGCTTGTAGCCTGGCATGCGCCGGCAAGCCGATGGCGACGATGGTGCCTCTTGGCCGCACGTAGCCTGCCGCCTGCTGGAACGGTAGTTCAGCAGTAGCCATGAGCAACACGGCATGTGGGCCGAGTCCGTCGGGAGAGGCGGCCTTCACGTCGGCAACGAGGTCTTTGGACTTGGAGAAGTCGACGAAGGCCTGTTTATTACATTTCACGAAGATTATTTGCCGTTGTTAGTCTTCCCATGTCCTGTAGCGGGGAGAGGCAAGATGATACCACATCACATTAACAACAAAGGGATAAGGGGGGAGAGAACCCACCGTCGCTCCCATCTTCATACACAACTCTCTCTTCTCATTGCCCGCATCAACGGCAATAGTCTGCAACCCCATTGCCTTGGCATACTGCTGTGCCAACGACCCCAGCCCACCTCCAGCCCCGACAATCGCCACCGCCTGGCCGGGTGCTGCTCTGCTTTCCTTCAGCGCTTTATAAACAGTCACTCCGGCACAGAGAATGGGCGCTACCTGATCCAGCGGCACGTCCTTGGGGATGGGAGTGACATGTGCCGCCTTCCCAATACAGTACTGCTGGAACGTCCCGTCCACCGTGTAACCCGAAAGAATCGCCTTCTGGCACAGGGGTTCGTTTGCACTCTCGCAGAAGTCGCAGGACAGACATGACCCGTTGATCCATTTGATGCCAACATGGTCACCAATTTCGACGTCGGTGACCAGCTGTCCGCGGGCGACGACGACACCAGCCCCTTCGTGTCCACCCACCAGGGGCATTTTCACATCCAGGGGCCAGTCACCCTTCATCGCGTGAAGGTCGGTGTGGCAGACGCCCGAGTATTTTATGTTTACGAGGACTTCATCGGGGCCCGGCTTTGGGACGGCGATTTGTCGATATTGCACCGGCCCGCCGACCTTGTCAGCCACCTGGGCCCATTGCTTTTCGGGAATGGGGATTTGAGGTGCCATTTCTGATTACTTGAGTCTTTTGACGGTTTCCTTGGGGGATGAAATGATTAGGTGGCTTGTTTTGCTAAGAGAGAGGTGGGCGCTATGTATATAAACATATATATAGATGCATATAGAGAGAGATATGTATGTATGTATGTATGTATGTATTGATATTCAGACCGGGATGGAGCGGATCAGGAGATATATGAACGTGGATAAGCAGGAGTGTGATCTCAGGGAACATAGATGGCCTTTTTATAACGCAGCAGCTGGCTAATTGATGATTGCTATCTATAATTGAGACGCGGGACCCCTCCTTCCTCCTTCCTTCCAGCATCCCTTGGTGCGTCGGACCACTGCTACATGTGTCGTGGCTGCGGTTGGCAAGGGAAGCATAAAATTGCAAGCTCCGAACCGATATCAATCGATGATGATTGGCAGGCTTCCAAACGTTCCCATCAGCCATCCCCGTCTGGGTATCACCAAAAACCCCACGCACGATTCCCAGGGAGGAAACCCATGCCATATTCCATGGACAGCAAATCAATGTGGGGATGTTTCCAATGGCTGAACCCCATATTCGGCAAACTCTAACTGGACATCCTCTAGATCATGGCATCATTCCATGCTAACCGAAAGGGCGAGGCTGAGACCAGGTGGTCAGTTGGCGCTGATGGATTACATCAGATGGCGAGACGGGCCCACTTGGAAGGGCTGAAATCTTGATTCCTCGACTCGGGCTTTCATCGTACGACGGGAAGTTCGGCAGTCCGCTGCTAGTGCATGCTTTTCGGACGGGTGGAGAATGCAGCCTGCTGTGTGTTGGAAGAATAACATTTACAGACCGACCCTTCAGACAAGAGACACTCCAGAGATTTCTCATTCTCATGTTGGGGCGAGGGGAAAAATAAAAGCCCGCACACCACGCCCTGCCGAATGGGGTTTAGCGCGATCAGATAAGGCCGAGGTCCCCCAACTCGTTAAACGGCCTGCAAACTAGCTGGCTTAGGTAATACTGGTTGGTTAACTAACTAACTACATCCATCTCCCCTCTTACGTGAAGTTACCCCAAGGTCCTCCCTTCAACCGTCGTCGTCTTTGTTTCCCCTCTTCTTCTCTCGGCCTGGCAGCTACTCTCTCGTCTCTCGCACGCCCGCCTTCACAGCGTCTGAGCATGAATCAAATGGAAAAAGAAAAAGAAAAAGAAAAAAAGGAAAAAAAAAAAAAAACTTAGAAAAAAGGAGTCGGGGAAGGGCGGTTCGGCCCGCCACGTTTCGACGATCTCAGTTCTTCCACCAAGGTCCTATATCTCAGACGAACCTTCATGGGTTCTTCTCTTGTTTTAGCTTCTTTCTAGCGGGTGGGGCAGTGGTGTTTACCAAACAATCGCCTTCGCTGGATTCTGGGGAAGAGGGGGGGGGGGGGAGGGGAGGCAGAATGACAAGAGAGACCTGCCCGAGTGATCTATCTATCGACAGTTGGGGGAATGGCAAGCAGCGGCTGTACCGAAATCCGGCCAGCTAATGCCTTTCCACCTTTGTTGCGTCAGGCTAGCTTGGTCTCTCTGGGCTCAGCAAAAATGCAAAAACCCATTTCCTGAATCCATGGAGCCACCAGCCCGCTGAACCTTGGTGATTGAGAATATATGTATTGTATGTATTCTTTCTTTGCCGCCAAAACGGTGGTTCAAAAAGGTTGGCCGCGCGCGACAGCAATGGTGGAAGAAGGGGTTTTATTGTCATATGGGAACTATGCTTAGTTTCTGAATAGCTGTTGGTTTCTTGAAATGGGTTTTACCTGACAGCTAGCCGTGTCCATGGTCCAGTGCAAGCAGGGTACGCTGCAGAGTTTTGAGCATGGACCTCTCCATTCTTTCCCCACAACTCGATTTGGAAGGTTTTTTTTTTTTATTATTATTATTATAATTATTATTATTTGTTTATTTATCTATCTATCTATCTATCTATCTATTTATTTTATTTTTATTTATTTATTTATATTTTGGCCCATCCCAGCAACATGACAAAAAAGTGGACCTTTGGCGCAATTCTAACCTCAGTTCGACATCGTGCAGGAGTAGGATGTCTGCACGACTCTTAACTAGCAGGTGTCGTGTATCTGGAAAAATTTCCATCCTTTTGAATTCAAAAGGCATCAGGTTCTTGAAATTTTGAAACCCTAGGAATCTACCCCCGGGAGAGAGGGAGGATATAATTATAGTAAAAGAAGTAACACTGGTCATCAACAACCCGATTGTTGCCAGTTCCAGTTCCAGTTTGATAGGTGGGTATTTGCGCTCAGTGAGAGTGAGAAACTTCCCGCCACAGAACAGGCATATCCCGCTGTTGACCCATTCCCAATGGGTATCCTGATTATTCAAATGCGCAATATTTCCGTCCTTGAAGACGATACGCATTCTTCCAAAATGAAAAAATGGCTCAGCTGGTGAGGCCTTGTCAACTTGCATATGCACGAACCAACACTCTGCACTGGAAGGGCCCGCCCAACCCTGCTCGCATGCATTTAAAAGACTTTCAACCCCCCCCCAACGTTTCAATAGCTTCAGGCCGCCAGAGGAAAAAAAAAATTAAACAAAAGAGCTGATGATCTCTGGATGCAACTCCCCGCAAACTCTGATTTCTTAACTTAAACCCTGTTTGTAAATAGGTCCGTTGAAGTGTAGAAGGAGTAAAATTTCCATGGAATGACGACTACATGGTTCGGGAGATAAAAAGATATGTCTAGACTACAATGGCATTTTTCAATCCCAGAGGGGGTCATCTGATCCATGACAAAATCTCAACATTCAAGGGAGAATGTGACTCCAGAGACTGTTCGATCATCAGGCTCTCTGGTTTTTTCTTTTTTCTTTCTTTTCTTTTCTTTTCTTTTTTTTTTAAATCAAAAGGCTATCGTCGGATGTTGAACCCAGTTGATTCATCACGATTCCAACATTACAGTTTCTGGCAAGGTTGAAGTCGAATCACAAGCTGAATTAAGTATCCCCATCTCTCTCTAAACCCAAGCTTTTGTTGTTTTGTCAATCAACTCGGTACAATTCAACGCCCAAAACCGGGTTTGAAGCTCTTATTTTTTGGCTATTGCCACCCCCATTTCTGATGACAACTGCATAGTTAAACTAGGCGATTAGGATGCAATCCGGCATTTTCAAAATATTTAGGCGCCATCGATGATTGTTACAAGCTAGCGGCTGGCTAATCATAGCCCTTTCATTCCGGCCGTGCTCGAAGGTTTTAAGTGCCAGTTTCATTCGGCGCTTCATTTCAATCGTTCAACCTCATGCATTATCAGCTGCCCTCCTCAAAGTAGATATCCAAATTACAGTGAAATAAAAAAGAAATGAATGAGATGTAAAAAAGATCTTTTCAGAACAAAAGCACTAACAATTCCTTCTCTGGCCATTTTCCATCAGTCACGTGCATGCATTGCCAGCCAAATTTCCACGATAATTATGTGCCCAACGCCTCCATATTCCAAAACAACTTATCTGGATTCTCAAATTAAAGCCAAAGCCAAAGCCAAAGCAAAGGTAAAAGCAGCAAAGGCAAAAAGCCAAAATCAAAACCAAAAAGAATTAGAAAGATATCTCTTGCCGCGTCTGATGAAGATCTTTGCCATAGGAACAGAGCTTAACAAAAACCCATTTCTCCACATTCTCGGCTTATAACCCTCAGCCAACCGAAAATCATACTTGAGCAGGATATGGCACAGAGCATGCTTGACCTCATTGGCTGCAAAGAGGCGTCCCGGGCAGGCATGTTTTCCCGAATCCGAATACCAAGTGTTCTGGGGAAGGTGACACTAACTGTGCAGACGTCTCATGGCCAGGCGTCTTGCGGAGCTTCAAGAATCGGTACGAGTCAAAAGGTGGTCGGGCTCTTTTCGGATAGATGTTTGAATCCCACATTTTGTTACAGGCGACAATAACCATCGAGCCCTTAGGCACGATTGTTTTACCGGATAGTACAATGTATCCTTCTGCAAGTGGTCTCATTCAGCCTGTTTGCGTTATATTTAATTTGAAAGGCTGTGAGTTAATGCTTTGGGGACGAGATGATGAAAAGGGGGGTTGCCGCAATTTTTTGGAGCGTCCTTACCAGTTTTAGCTTGTATAACGTAGTCCGCTGCCAACCCTGTGACTGAATAACCGTTACAATCTCATTGCGAAGCTCCTGAACAATCTCCTCACGTCCACTATGGGTCAAGGAGAACTTGCGAGAGCATGTCAGATGTAGTATGAATAGCGGCGTGCGCTACAACGGGATCATAATAGTGGCCTTTGGCAGATTGCTCCAGCCACTGCATCGCATCCATATATCGTTCTGGCTGTTTACCCAGCACGAACTGCGGCTAATTTTGCCATGCGTCTCTCCTCAAGGGCTGGGTTTATGATAGCTCTTGCTTGCTCAATTTCCTGTCGGAGTTTACAGCACGATGGCAAGAAGTTGGCTACCAGCCGGCGCGTCAGCGCGAGCCACTGACGGAGGGCCGTAGCAGCGATAAACGAATCGACAGTGTAGGAGATGGTGATACGAAGCCAGTCTGGGTTGCGACGTATTTTTTCACCTAGGAAGACCTTGGATGACAGCTGGGCCACCATTATGAGAATACTTGTTTTGAGGGGAATATCATGCCAATCTAGCCTTGCGGGTTAGTGATATGCCATTCTGGGGAAGAAAAAGCAGCTTCTGCTCCTACTAACAGGAATTATCTGTCCATTGTGTCTCAAGGACGAGAGCAGTCTCAGAAGAAAGAAGTCCTGTAACGTTTCCTGGTCAAGTGAGCAAACCATCACAAAAAAAAAAAAGGGTTGGGGAACTGGTTGACCGAATAAACAAGTCATTCACCAAGGCTTTGCGTTAGTTTTATCCGGACGGCGTCCTGAAAGATCTCACATGCTGTTGCTCCTTGCTTGAAGGTATCAAATCCAGGGAAATCGGCGTGAAACTCTTTTGATATGGCCGAATTAAAGTTCAATGCAGGGTGGTTGCGGATCTCATCAATGTAAGGCAGCTGAGAGGACGACCCTGGGACCATCATCAGTAATAAGGCGAAAAAGCGCTTGCCTGGATAGATGCGTTAAAAGGTGAGCAGATGGAAGGTTCCCAGTTATTCTATTTAATAATCCTCGTTTACCACAGAGATATACCTTACTAAACCCTTCTTCAATCAAGCTGGCTGCATTTCTCATGAACCGCTTTGCTGCATTGGCAGACCGGAATTCAAAAGGTTTCTTTCCATTGATCAACGGTGAAGAGGGCTTCTCGAAGAGGACTTCTTGGATGAAGTCCGCAGCAAAAATACGGCTGACAATAAAATAACGAGGCTAGTCAAGATGACGGGTTCCAGCCTGACAGTGCAGGAGAGCATCAAAAAGCACTTTTTATGGAAATATCCACCGTCATTCTATGAACAGCTTCGAGCACTAATGTACCCAGTGTATAAACGAGACCGGTAAAACGAAACGCACGACAGTGTTTATAAGGGGTTGAGTTAGAGCGTGTGGCGCGGGAGGGGGTTTATATTCTCCATTCACTGTGGGATTCACACTTTGCTCCGTTTCGTAGGGTTTTCTGCGGTTGGCATGCGATCCTTGCCCATCAATGCACAAAAACGTCGGCCAGGATATTACATCAGCTGCGACATGCTGCGTAGTGGATGTTCCCCATCCACTTGCCTCTTCTGATACAGTGTCTTTGTTGGAGAAATTTGGCCAACTGAGAGCATCCAAACCCGCAGCGGAGCTAGGACCCAGTTGTTTCCACCCAAGTTGGGAGGGATACACGTATCGCCGATCTAGCTAAGCATGTTGTGCAAATATTTGATCTTCATGCCGCCCCCACACCAACCCCTTCTCAATCCCGCTCCCTGCGCTCAATGAGTGCTTCTAGATGGTTGCGGGGGCTCACCAAAATAGGTTTCATCAGTAGCCTGGTATGGAGCCTCAGGGGGTAAGCCGGGATTTCATTGCTGGAGTCGTGGAGATTTTGACAGTCCATCAGAGGGACACCGATCGTTGACTTCTCAGTAGTAGTTAGTTCATGGATCAGGTGGATGGACTGAGATTGCTTTATGCATGCCTCCCTCGGTTTCGGCATTTATTGCTGTTAAGCATAGATTTAATACACAGGTGCTGCTTGTCATTATTGTTCCCCCTCGGGGAGGCATAGTTGCAGGAGTGGGCCAAGTCGCCGCTGGTCAGGGCTTTTGTTCGCCCTGGATCTGTCCAGGCGCTTACTTACGCACCAATTGGCGCGCTAGCAAAGGCAAGTTGTTGTGTAGCTGGTTCTTCCTCCCCACCAGCATCCGTCGCAAGTTGTAACCTCCAACTCTTCCAACATAAACTGGTAAGGAAGCGTACTTCACTGGCTAAATGTGGCTTGACAACGGCTGCAGGGATGGCAAATGGTCTTATGAGACATGTTACAACGCATCCATTCCAGCATAGCAGTGGATAACTACAAGCAGCAATTCATTGTTTGAACTTATTTTATCACCCCTCAGCACACTGTCCGCCGACAGAAGACTTCAAACATTTGCTGCACAGAGCCAACATCCAGTCCTCTTCCTTGAATATTTGCTCGTCATCTCTTCTCGACATAAAGCCCTCAGATTTGAATTTGTGAGATTCGAAAAGCAACCGTCAAATATCCAAAGAGAATCTTGGGAAATGAAGGGAGGGAAAACCCGTACCGTGTGGTTTCCCGATGGCGCCGCTGACAACAGGTCAGACAGAAGATCATATATACTGTCACCCAGATGGCGGAGTGAGAGTGTGAGACTGCTGGCTCTCCCCTGGGTCTAGCGCATACTTCCACGCCGTCTATATTCTGCGCAGCGTACAGAAGAGATATTTCTCTCTGGTTAACTATCTGAACATCTTATGAACCAATCGATCTTACGATCTCACAAAAACCCATTTCCCATTCAGTCATTCTGCTACAGAGGCGTAAATAAAAAGAGAAAACCTGTGGCGGCGTATATACTGCTAACCAGGGAATCAGATTCATGCTTACATTGTCAAGCGCGGGATAGTTTCTCTGCCCATATTCTTCTCGCTCTCGTTCGCGTCAAGACTTTTTAACTCTCTCTTCCCTCAAAATCAACGACAATGGCTCGAGTTAGTCTCTTCTTCTTTTCTCACGAACGATCATACGATCACATTGAAGAATGGCAGGGCATCGCCAACGCTAAGCGTCACTCGAGGACATCATCGCGCCCCAACCATTAGCAACGGGTCAACCCGCCCGGGCGAACCGTAGATCCTTCAGCAATGTCATCCATTTCAGAGCTGCAGAAACATCTGATGCTGTTTATAGCCGCCTTCTACCCATCCACTATCTGTTTGAATATTCCCGCTCCGAGCTGTCACAGGACAATATTTCTATGTGCCTTCTGTCATTTTATGGGCCTAGATATAGCTGCGGAGCATGATCCTGTTTTGGAGAAAGAAGAGAACCAACTGAGCGAGAGCTTAGCTGGCTTCGCAGATTCCTTACTCGACAGGACTTTTCACACCGTCTGTGAGCCCGACCCACTGCCATGTCGACCTCTTCATGTTGCTGCTGGCTCTTATCTTTTATAATCAAGGTTTCTGACAAGCGCATCTCTCAGCAATCCAAAGAAGTTCAAGGGGGAAACCGTGAATATGGAATATCTTCCGACACCAGACCAGATATCAGTTTTTCGAGGTTTCTGCCTCATCCGTGACCACCATCGCTGTGTGATCTAGAGTCAAATTGACCAGAAGGAAGCAATAATTCGTTTGACGCAACAGAGTGACAGTACTCAAGATGATGAAGGCGACCAGCTCAAAGGCAGCCATTCATGTATCTTGAGGTATCTTATATCATTCTACATTCGCTGACACAATCTGACACAGACGGCCAGTTGGTAGGTCACCCTGTCAAGAATATCAGACAGTTTCCTTTCTGTCTCAACACCCTGGCTACAGCGATTCTAAAAAGCCCCTCTCATGGTTCTTAACATGTTCCACTGCGAAGTTTCACTCGCACATCACTTGTGGGTGGTGTCAATGTTGGCTATCCGCTCAATGCTAGGAACCTTACCCACAGTTTCCATACCGAATTTAGGCTATTTCTCAGTCCTCTTCGACCCTGTTCCTGGCCAGGAGCATACCTACCGAATTGATACGTACCTCCCCCCCCCCCCCCGGGGGGCCCTACCAGCACTTCCTCTTACTCGCGCACTCTTATCTCCTCTCTCACCTGCGATCAATCGATAGACCGACCCCCCACCCCCAACCCTTTCCACCACGTCTTTCTCGCTATACACCGGGGCCATTGCTCACATCCTTTCACGTATCTAGGGCAGGTGAATATGTTGACAGGATTCTCCAGGATATGGAGGAAGCGGTGACATGACGAGGGTGGGTCTATGGAGTTCGGTTGGCTAGTGATGTTAGAGGTTGGTGGTTGGTCTGATAGTGCAGTCAGTGTCTAGGAGGTGCTTGCGCAGCTAATATTGGCGATCGATTCACAAACTCTAAAATTGAACCGGTCAGGAATCGAACCCAACCGCTCCACGCCCGTAGCGCGCCCCTCTACCCGTCTCCGCAACCCGTGCTTCCAGAGTCGCCCTTGCAGAGCCGCTCGTCGATGGATACGCTGAAGGATGCCAGATGTGGAAACTGCAGGCTGGCCCGCCCCCCAACCCTATGGGCATGACCGGGATGCAACCACCAGGAAATTGGTGCGGTTACCCGGGAGGAAGAACGTGATAGAACATGATGCCCCGAGCTGGAGGACCCCAATGTGCTCAGAGAGTTCCTTGCTTGATGCTCTAGTTCACTCAGACGGCCTGAGAGATGGCCAGGGAAAAGGCAGGCACTAGATATTGCATCTTTCCGTGCCCCACCCCTCTACAGAAGGCCAGACCCCATCTGGACCGCACAGCAGGAGTGGGACGATGCTGAAATAGACGCCGCCCTGGAAGAAGCCAGGGCGGCAATTGAGCATCCTGGCTCACTGACAAAGCCTCCGGAACCTCATACGTCTGCCTGGACAACGAAGAGGCCGCTATCCGCCTCCCGCCTCTATTCTGAAACTGGTGGGGGGTTTGGTTTCGTTGTTTCGTTGTTTCGCTGTTTCGTTTGTCATCAGCAATTTGAGTTCGTGCGTAGGCTCAATATCCGTCTCCCATTCATGGGAGAAGAAGAATAATATGCTGTGAGGAACGGGTCGACTCTTATAAACGGGAACTTAGCTGATCGTTAATTCTCTGGAAAAAGAAGTCTAATATATATATATATATATATATATATATATATAATACTTTTCATCTTGTATTGACAGGCTAGACTCTCTTGCAGTTGCCAAATCCATATAAAGGCAGAGGTGCTTCCTGCAGGATGACAAGTCAATTTACAGATAACTTTATCAGTTTCAAGCTTTCTTTCATTACAGAGGATGATTGATGCCGTTCATGGGATGGGATGTACTTGTAAGCAAAGTTAATTCTACACAAAGAGTTTCTTTCTCTCGTCAGGATTTATTTATAAGCCCCCCCCAGTCCAGTCTCAGATGAAAAGCAGACATTTCTTCTTGTAGAAACAACATCCTGAAGTAAGTAACTTCCAAAAAACCAATTCTTGATTCTCTTGCAGCTGGCTAGTCTGCAGGTCCAAAACATGTCTACTATGGGGGAGTTGTCTCTTTCGCTATATAGAGGAGCAGACATTACAAGGGAGCCAAATTGAAAGGGGCCTGCAGTTGTTATTACACCATTAGTTAATAGTTTAATAATATACAGTACATAATTATAACCTAGGGACCAAAAAGGGTCGGAAAGACTTTCGTTGGGGCTGTAAGTCTCTGTACGGGTAATACCGACACCAGTGTGGTTTAGCCCAAGAGCAGGAATCGGGCTGCGGGCATCCATACCGGGGCGATACGCTGTATGGGGCGTGACGGGGGGGGGCAGTGACAAGATCTGCGCCCTCGCAGCAGCAGCAGCAGCAGCAGCAGCAGCAGCTTGGGGGAAGGGGAAGCGTTCACCCACACCCACACCCACACACAAACCACACAAACCACACAAACCACCCAGCAGCATCCAACCCAACCCAAC